AGTTCACCCTCCGAGCCCCTCACCGTCCCCGACTTGGAAATATATCGGCCGTTCCTTCAGTGTCGCTGGGTCAGAATCCTGGAACTCCCTCCCTGAGGGCACTGTGTGGGAGTCCCTACACCACACAGACTGCAGCGGCTCACCCCCATCTTCTCAAGGGGGGGCAATTGGGGGGAAAATGGGGCAATAAATGCTGGGCCCAGCCCACATCCCCGAAACGAGTAGGGACAAAAACCATACTCAGTGCCGTTCAGGGGCTCGCGCAATCTTGCCATGTTCCCAACGGCGACAGGAACTTCGCTTCGCTGATTTGGGGCAGCGCGGAAAAGGTGCTAGTCAAATGAAAGCCTGCCTTCCCACTGGATTGTGTTCACAGTCGACCTGCTGGGCCTGTTAAACTGGCGATCGAGTCCCCAGAGTGTCAAGGGAAGCCTCAAGCGGCTAATGAAGGTGGACGGCGGCGAGATTGTGAAGGTAGGCCCCATTCTCTACAGCCCGGTTCAAATCCCATCTTGGTGGTTGGTGAGTGGGCAAGGCGTGGGGGGGATGGGAAACGTTTCGCCTCGCGAGCGGTCGCCGGTTGTTGCTTTGAAGAGAAAAGTGTAACCCCGAATTTTTGGATGGCTAACGTCGGAAAGGATTTCCGCAATGCGTCTGGGCCTGCTGCAAAATGGCCGACTCTTAAACCGCCTCTAAAGTAACAGAGTGAGGCCCTCACAACCTTGACCAATTATTGAGGTGCACGCTCGCGACGCCAAGGCTTTGGGCGTAGCGCGAGGAAATGGCGTTAGAACAGTGAGGCGGTTGTTTGCGACCGGTACAGACTGGATGGGCCGAAGGGCCTACGTCTGTCGCTCCAGAGCGTTGGAGCTGGATGGTCCGATCCTCGCTCACTCTCCTGTTCCCCACAGTTTCTGCAGGACACTCTCGACGCCCTTTTCCAAATTATGATGGAGGTTTCTGGTGAGGACACTTATGACTTTCTGGTCTTCGACGCTCTGGTAAGCAAATCGAGGTCAGGATTTCGCCAGGTGTACATTCCTGTACAGGAGCTATGCAGCCACATCAGAGTGAGGGGCCAGCCTTTGGCTATTTGACCCCAACCTTCCTGTCTATTCTGTTTCGAACCGAAGATTTAAAAACAAAACAAACAAGGGCAGGACTTACATAGAACATAGAACATTACAGCACAGTACAGGCCCTTCGGCCCTCGATGTTGCGCCGACCTGTGAAACCAATCTGAAGCCCATCTAACCTAAACTATTCCATTATCATCCATATGTTTATCCAATGACCATTTAAATGCCCTTAAAGTTGGCGAGTCTACTATTTTTGCAGGCAGGGCATTCCACGCCCTTAATACTCTCTGAGTAAAAACTTGTACAATTAATAGTAGGGCCTTGGGGTAGAGTTGTAGAGCAGACAGAGATCTAGGGGGTTCAGGTACATAATTCTTTGAAGTTTGCATCACATGTAGGCAGGGTGGTTAAGAAGGTGTTTAGCCTTCATTGCTCAGGCCTTTGAGGATAGGAGTCGGGACATCATGTTGAAGTTGTACAGGACATTGGTGAGGCCTCTTCTGGAGCACTGTGTCCAGTTCTGGTCTCCCTGTTATAGGAAGGATGTTATTAAACTGGAGAGGGTTCAGAAGAGATTTACCAGGATGTTGCTGGGATTGGAGGGTTCGAATTATAAGGAGAGGCTGGGACTTTTTTCTCTGGAGCGCAGGAGGTTGAGAGGTGACCTTATAGATGTTTATAAAGTCATGAGAGTTATAGATGATAAGTGTCTTTTTCCTAGGGTGGAGGATTTCAAGACGAGAGGACACATTTTTAAGGTGAGAGGACAGAGGTTTAAAAAAGACACGAGGGGCAAATTTTTTCACAAGGGAGAGTGGTTTGTGTGTGGAATGAGCTTCCTGAGGAAGTGGTGGATGTGGGGACAGTTACAACGTTTAAAAGATATTTGGATAAGTACATGAATAGGAAAGATTTGGAGGGATATGGGCCAGGAGCAGGCAGGTGGGACTAGTTTAGTTTGGGATTATGGTCAGCATGGACTGGTTGGACCGAAGGGTCTGTTTCCGTCCTGAATGGCTGTATGTTCAGGGCCGTGTCGTTTGCACGGGGTTTGAGGGGATGGAGGGACATGGTTGCTGTGCAGAATCCCGCGGCAGAGAGCAGTGTTATCACCAAGGGAGTAACCCAGAGGCTGACAGTTCAAATCCCACCACTGCAGCCTCCGAAATCCAGAGGTCTGGAATCGGAAGCCAATCCCGACACCTTTCCCGCACTTTCAAAGGGTGTTGCGAGATCAGGAGATGTGTGGACCTCCGAGGAGGATTCAAACACTCAGTTTGATCTTACGACTCAGGTCTGACTTCAGTGAGACTTAGGCGATACATGTGAAATGACACACAGCTAAACCTTGACTGTTTCTTGTCCCCGCTGTCTTGTTATCTTTTTAACCTTCTGACTAAATTCCTCCACTCTCTGTTCCTCAGGTCTTCATCATCTCCCTGATCGGAGATATCAAGTTCCAGCATTTTAATCCCGTCTTGGAAACATACATCACAAACCACTTCAGTGCGACACTGGCTTACACGTGAGTTCAGAGCTGGAGAGACACTCATCTCTCTCCTGGGATATCTACTGATCTCTGGCTGGTGGAACATAATTGCAAAGTTTCATTAATTGATTAGAAACTGAACAGGACCAGCCCCACATAAACACAGCGGCTACAGGAGCAGGTCAGAGGCTGGGAATCCTGCAGCGAGTAACTCCCCTCCTGACTCCCTCCCAAAGCCTGTCCCACCATCGACAAGTCACAAGTCAGGAATGTGATGGAATACTCCCCACTTGCCCCGGATGGGGGCAGCTCCAACAACACTCGAGAAGCTCGACACCATCCAGGGACAAAGCAGCCCCCCGCTTGATTGGCCCCACATCCACAAACATCCCACTCCCCCCCACCACCGACACTCAGTAACAGCAGTGTGTACCATCTACAAGATGCACTGCAGCGTCTCACCGAGGCCCCTCAGACAGCACCTTCCAAACCCACGACCCACTTCCATCCAGAAGGACAAGGGGCAGCAGGTACATGGGAACACCACCCCCTGCAAGTTCACCCTCCGAGCCCCTCACCATCCCCGACTTGGAAATATATCGGCCATTCCTTCAGTGTCGCTGGGTCAGAATCGTGGCACCCTCTCCCTGAGGGCACTGTGTGGGGGTCCCTACACCACACAGACTGCAGCGGCTCACCCCGACTTTCTCAAGGCGGGGGCAATTAGGGGGAGAAAGGGGGCAATAAATGCTGGTCCCAGCCAGCGACGCCCACGTCCCATGGACAAATGGAAAAAGAAATTCCAAAATCTCTGATCAAACCGTGACCCTGATCTCTCTCTCTCTGTCTCTGTTTCCACAACCGTGCAGAAAACTGGCCAAAGTGCTGAACTATTATGTGGCAAATGCGGAGAATGCGCAGGAAACGGACCACCTTTTTGCTGCTTTGAAGGTGCTGAAGTACGTTTTCCGCTTCATCATCCAGTCCCGGGAACTGTATTTGCGGTAAGGATCACCGAGGCCCGCTGATATCGCGGCAGCTGCAAGTCGGTCCCCAACAGATCTCCACCCGAAGGCATTCGTCTGGTTGAATTCAAAAACGCCCTTTTTTGTTTTTGACTCGGAGCATGGAATCTAGCTCTCCCTACTGCCCACTGCTGTACTGATGCCTCTCCCCCCTCCGTCCAACGATTGTAGAATATCCAACCCCATTAGCGCCGCTTCAGATACTGAGGGATTGTACATGCAGCAATATTCCCTGGACAATATTCCCAGGCCTGAGCTGGCAAGTGAGGTTTGGGAGCAGAAACAAGGAGGTGGCTATTATTCCAAATAGCGATCGGTTGGGAGAGAGTGAAAGAAAGATGCAACATGACCTGGGCATCCCCTCGCGCACAATAGTCGCTGAAAGTCAGGAGCAGCAGGGAATGAGGAAGGCCAATGGGACGTTGGTCCCTTCATGGTGTGAGGATTGGAGTACAGGAGCAGGGATGTCTCTCTGCAATTGGACAGGGAGAGACCGCACCCTGGAGTATTGTGTGTGGGAGGTTTGGGGTCTCCTTATCTTAGGGGAGGGAGTTCTGGTGATGGAGGGAGTGTGACAAAGGTTTACCAGGTTCCTGGGATGGCATGGACTAACAAATGAAGACAGTCCAGATGGGGTTAGGATTATATTCACTGGAGTTTAGGAGAACGAGGTGTAGGGATCTCACAGAAACCCATTGAATTCTAACAGGGGCGAGACCGATGTTCCCGATGACTGGGGGGAAGCCCAGATCTTGGGGATCACAGTCTAATAGATACAGGGTAGGACTGGGATGAGGAGAAATGTCTTTACCCAGAGAGTAAGTGGGGAGGAGCCTGTGGAATTCTCTGCCACAGAAAATGGGCAAAACATTGAATTTTTTCAAGAAGGACTTGGATATAGATCTTGGGGTGAACGGGGGGAACACGGGACCGAGAGGGACAATCAGCCCACGATGGTATCAAACAGCAGAGCAGGAGAGAAGAGCCAAATGGCCCCCTCCTGCTCCCATTTTCCAGGTTTGGGAAGCTAGAGCCGATTACGATCCAGTCGGTGGGGCAGAGGAGGCACAGTTTCGGCAACCGTCCTCCCCTCTAACCGCACCTCCCCCCCACCCGGCGAACCAACCAGGAGATTTGCGACATGGGGGTGGTATGGAGAGGGGTAAGTAACATCGGAACAGGGGGCGGAGGCAGCGCAGTCGGACTGGGAGGAAGAAGTGAGTCCCATGAGGGACAGCTCCCCTCAGGCCGAGCCGGTCTCCGAGGATACACAAACGCGCACACACACACACACACACAAACTCATACACACACACACACACACACACAC